GAATGAGTATTTGTGTGCATATGTGCATACAAATGAGTATGTGCATGTATTTATGCATGAGAGTGTGTGCATCTGTGTGCATGTGGGTGCATATTTGTGCATGTGAGCGTGTGTGTGCTTGTGTATGTGTGCATGTGAGGATGCACACGATTATGTGTACATGTATGAGTGTGTGCACATTGCAGGCATGTGTGTGCATTGGTGTGCTTGCATGCATGTAAGTGCATGTTCATGGGCATGTGTGTATGAATGTATATGCATTTGGGCATTGCTTGAACATGTGCATGTGTGTGTGTGTCTATGAGTATGTATGTGCACGTGAATGAGTTTTCTGCAGAAAACGATCCTCAAATAGAATTTCATCACGTTCTCTCTGTGTCCCTGGCAGTAGCTACATTTTTGGCACAGTGCCGTGTCTTGGAAACCCCAGGCTGGTTTCAGCACACTGCAGGCAGGGCCTTCCCTCTACAACAGCCTTGCCTGTGTTCCAGCTGGATGTCATGTCACGCGAACTGTTACGCAGACAAGAGGATTTTTCAAAACTTGGTGGCTATAGAAGCCCCCAGACACTGCCCCCAGGGGCCCACAAGGAGGGAAGAAGGCTCTACAGACAGGGGTGACTCGGTCCACCCAAAGGGACAATGTAGAAAGCCCAAGAAGGGCCATAGCCTGCCCCCGGAGGGCAGAGTGGCTCTCCAACTGGAGGTGACTTCTCCATGGGCAAGACAGAGGTGGGGTGTTTGGGGCAGAACCCCTGAATCCTCAGAGTGGACAGCGGCAGACTTACGAAACAAACTGTTGACCCAGACATTTTACCTGTAGTCCTGCAATTACACACTCTGAGGGGCGCGCAGGAAGGTCTAGGGTTGGATGCATCGAGCAGATTTCCCAAAAGTGTATCACAAGAGATAAACTCCTAGAACGTCTTTATGGCGACCGTCAGAAGTTACGAGGGAATCCCATTGGTTCCTGCATTACCGAACTCTAGCCCCGAGGGGCCCGTGTTCCCACAATTTCTCAGTTCCCAGAGCACCCACTATTTCCATCAGGGAGAACACGCCCCGGGGGTCAGCTCTCATTGCTGAAAAGCCGAGTGTGTTGTGTTCCGACGTTGTCACCTTCTGCTGGAGTAAAATCCCCAGTCTTTGAAAAGCTCTTTATGCATTTCAGGCTCCTCTTTGAACCGTATGTTCCTGCTAAGCATGCGGCCACAGCCCATGAATGCCCGGCTCCTCCCTTGCATAACCGCCTCGTGGAGGTGAAACTGAGAACGTTCTATGATGTCGCGACGTTTCATCTCATTGCTAAATATTGTTTGTCCAACACAGAAGCAGAGCAATCACTCATCTGCCGCAAATCGATTAATACGCATTTCGGTTTGATAAAGAGTAAGGTGAATTACACACGCTCGTCAGGGATTTCGAGACGCGTCTGCCTGGTGTGATGTATTAACCCACTATTCAGATGCAGCCCATTTGGGCATGTTGTCAGCACCTGTTAAAAAAGAAACGCAACAACCAGGGAGGTAAAGCTAGATGGGGCATTGCCCGCGCCTGCTTTCCGCAGGTTCCTCCACGCAGCCATGAGCGTGCTCTGCCCCGCCTGGCACTGTCTGTGTGAGCACCGGGGATTGTGTCTCCTCTGCTCTGAACGTGGACTCATCCTAGTCTTTGTGCCTTCTTCCCACAGACCCCCGACGAAGGAGCCTGGACTTCTGTGTATGCAGCAGTCACCCCAGAGCTGGAAGGAGTTGGCGGCCGCTACCTGTACAACGAGAAGGAGACCACGTCCCTCAAGGTCACCTACAACCAAAAGTTGCAGCAACAGCTGTGGGCCACCAGCTGTCAGATGGCCGGTGTTCTCAACGTGACCCATGACACTGCCTTGAGCTAGCTGCTGCCTCTGGAACTCATGGGGAGGACCACGGTGTCTGCATTCTGCACGCCCATCTGCACTCGGGCTCTGTCCTGCAGCCTTGAGTTGGCCGCTTGAACTTCTGCAAGAACTGAAGGAGCAAAGGCAACATTGGGGTGATGTTCCTCAGCCATAATCCTTGTGCTCCCAAGGTGCCAAACTGTCACAGCTGCCATAAATAATTAAATCTTTCCCACCTAATTGTGCGGTTTTCCTTGCTTGGCACAGAGGGGTCGTGTAGGACTGGGGACATAAGTTCCAGGAGAGGTGACCTCTTTGCAGGGGCTGCAACATCCTGCCGGGGACCCGGTGGTTGATGGGGTCCCCTGTTTTGTTTTGTTCTTGCAGTAACTCATTCTTCCAGAGGCCCACCTAGGAGTCACAGGTCCCAGACACAGGGAGAGGTGAGCCTTGCCTCAGCATGTAGGGTCAGTTTTGTGTGTCCAATCCCAACATCGGTAGACCTTGCTCAAGAGTGGCCCAGTCAGTGGGTAGCTACATGGTGCTGTCAGATCAGAGATACTCACACCATTACCCAGCTATACAGGGGATTCTGTAGGGCAAGGGATGAGGGTAGTGCCCGGACAGAGGTCATCATGGGATTATCTAGGACAGGGACAAGGGTAGTGCCTGGACAGTGGTCACCATGGAATTATCTAGGACAGGGATGAGGGTGGTGCCTGGACAGAGGTCACCGTGGGAGTATCTAGGACGGGGACCAGGGCAGGACCTAGACATTGGTTACTGTGGGAGTCTCTAGGACAGGGACCAGGGAAGTGCCTGTACAGAGGTCACCGTGGGATTATCTAGGACAGGGACAAGGGTAGTGCCTAGATAGTGGTCACCATGGGATTATCTAGGACAGGGATGAGGGCAGCACCTGGACAGTGGTCACCATGGACAGAGGACAACTCTATTGGCCTGGTTGCCTAGTCACCAGGCAACATCCACAGGTGGCCTCTGTCTTAGGCTCTGCCACATTCCAGTCACTTTCTGTGATCACTTGCTATCTCTTTTCCTGGTGACATCTTCAGGGGCTGGATTATTTGTCAGTGCATGACCCTGAAATAAGTATCATCATCATATTCAATTTAAAATGCTGCCCTCTCAGTTGACGTGGAAACAGGCTAATAGGACCTTCTTTGCCGGACATTTTCTCCTGACACCCCTGCACCTGCAGGTGCAGCTACCTTGCCCGCCAGGAGCACGAAGCCTGTTCTCCATCCCTGGAATTGGGTGAAGGATGTGGCCATCCTTTGGGGTTCATCCATCAACTCTATAATGGAAAGTTGGCAGCCCCAGGGAGATACGTCCACCTCCAAACCTTCAGAATGTGTGAATGTGATGTTATTTGGACAAAGAGTTTTTGCAGATGTAATTGAGGATTTTGAGATGAGGAGATCACTATGGATCATGCAGGTGGGCCCAAGGTAACCACAGGGGTTCCGATCAGAGACAGGCAAAAGGAGACTTGATGGTGGAAGACAAGATGTGTTCACAGAGGCAGAGATTGAAGTGATGTGGCCACAAGCGAAGCAATGCCTGGAGCTACAAGATCCTGCAAGAGGCAAGAAGGACATTCCAGTGTGGCCTTCAGAGGAATCTCAGCCATGGTGACATCTTGATTTTAGTCTTCCGCTCTCCAGAACTTGGGGAGAAGAAATATCTATTGTTTTAAGCCGTCAACAAATTGACAGTAACTTGTTATGGCGGCCATAGGACACTCATACTGCTTCTGAAAACCTCACATGGTCACTGGGCACTTTCTGAGGCTCACCCTTAGTCACTCACCAGTCAGGCAAGGATGGCTCAATCCCTTCTCTGACAACAGGTGTTAGATTCTCAAATTCCCACCCGGGGAGACAAGTTACTGGAAATGCTTTTGAAAGAATGCCACGTGTCTCCTGCCAAACTGATGTGAGAGAACAGGGACCATTGGTCAACTTACTGTCCCTTCCCTCAAGTAAAAAAATCCCACCAAAGAACCCAAATCCACGTCAGTTCTTGGCACAGCCATGCTGTGAAATCACAGCCGGTAACGGTTCTTGGGTGTGGTTCACATTGATCTCCGAATCAAATACTTTTTACACTACTGCTTGGTTTTTCTGAAGTGGGCGTGGTGGCCCTCATAAGCAAGTTAATCATCAGCCACCTACTCTTCAGTCTACTTTTGCGTATGTCTGAAAATTTCTATGCTCAAAAACTAAAATAATAAATGTTTGGTCTTTAAAAAAAATAGAATCAGCCATGCCTCTGGCATGGAGAATTATCTAATGGCCACTTAATAAGACATGAAGAAATGTCGCTGTTCAGGGTTTTAATACTTGAGAAAACTGGGCGTGGATTCTCTTTTAGTTCTGCGCCTTGGAGGCATGGTGCTTTTCTCAGCCAAAGTGCTGAACTCCAGACTAAATTGCATCTTAAAGATACTGAAGGTATTTTCTGGTATCTAATATCTGCTTCTTCAGCACTGGCACAATTGCTGCCCAGTCCCCATGTCTGGAGGAGGTTCTTCTGTCCATGAGAGAGTTGGCATCGTGGACACGTCATTCCTTTGGCAGCACTAGAGAAGATAGAATGTTCCCTTAAGTTTTCCAGGTAGAGCCTTGAATGACAGGACACTGTCGTCATGGCACTGTCCCAGATGACGTGGAGCTGCCCCATGGGACACATGGCCCGTCATACGGGAGATGCCCTGCTATGACCTCTCCAAGTCAACAGTGCTTACTCGCCAGGTGGCCCGTGGCAACCACACCTCTTCATTTTCACATCCAATGTTTATTAACATCATCCTCTTCATTTCCTCCTCTTGGTAACCTGGAAAGCAGAGAGTCCATTTCTGTCCCTTGTTGCTTTTCTTTGCTTCAGAAGAAAGAGAGTAGAAAATAGTCTAGAGGGGTTATGTTCCAAGATGTTATGTTAGACTCTCAAAAACACTATTTACTCATCCATCCATTCACTCACTCATTCACTTATTCATGTATTCTAAAAGAGTATGGAATAACTATATCCCAGGGATTGTTTTAGTTCCGTTACGTAGTTGGATAGATATGTGATAGATAAATAGATGATGGACGGATGGATAAGATAGATGAAGAGAGATATTGATAGATATAGCTAGTAGGTATATAGATAATAGATTAGATAGATGATAGGTATTGAAATAAAAGGTGGATAGATGATGATGGATAGACATTTATGATAGACAGATGATTGATAGATGATAGGTAGATAGAAGACGGATGGGTAGATGGATACTTTAGGGATCAGTAAACCTTTTATGTCAGGGACCAGTTAATAAATATTTTCGTATTTACAGGCTATAGGTCTCTGTTGAAACTACTCAGTTCTGCCATGATAGCTCAGAAGCAGCTACAGAGAGAGCATAACCAAGCAGCTTCGGCTGTGTTCCAATAAAACTTTATTTACAAAAACAGGAGGTCACCAGATTTGGCTCATGGACCATACTTTGTTTGAACCCTCAGTTTAATGCCCTGCACTGTGTGTATATTGTAAGTCCCACAGGGATGGGGAATTTACCCACAGAAAGAGTCAGCATCTCATCCAGCTTGGAGTTCCTAGTAGGACTTAGGTTGGAACCTAAAATGTGTTTGTCACCACATACTGTGATTTTGCTTTAGGGATAATCAGCATGCTTGGATTTCTGTTTCTTTATAGATAACCAAGAATTCTGGGTCATGGATCCACTAGACGAGGGACCCTCCTTGGCACAAAAGAATGAGTGACTGGACTTTGTTCCTTCTGATATTCATTTGAGGAGCTCACCTCCTTGTCCGTGTCCTGCTGGGCTGGGCAGAGCTGAGACCTCAACATACTGGACTGTTTGTATGGAGAGAACGAGCTGGAGCCTTTGCCATGGAAACACACAGACTCTGTGCAGGATGTCTGCTTAGATAATCGATATCCCATGACACTTCCCAAGAAAGCCACAGGCTGAACAATGAGACTAACAGGCTGTCGGAACAGGGTCGAGGAAGGAGAGCCTGCCAGCGGTTACAGGGAATGATAGAACTTGAGGATCAGATATTGCTGAACCCCACATCCCAGCTGGACTCAGTGCTGTGGGGGGAGGTGAAGCCCAATGGCACGAACCCACAAGAAGGTTTATGGATCTATAGCGGCCCCTACGTCACATTGGCTACACACCCCTCAGGCTCAGGTGTCTGTGTGAAAATTGGGCAGATGGTTCCTGCTTACTCAAACAGCTCACTGTAGGTTATGTATTTATGGGTTTCCCTGGGCTGCTGTAACAAGTTACCCCAAACCAGGGCACTTACAACAATGGGAATGTATCCTCCCCCAGTCCTGGAGTCCAGAAAGCTGAGATGAAGGTGTCTCATGGCTGCTGTCTCTCCGCAGGCTCCAGGGGAGGCTCCTTCCTGCCTCTTCCAGCTCCTGGGGTCTCCAGGCATCCCTGGGCTTATGGCCGCGTCACTCCAGTCTCTGCCTCTGTCTCCACATGGCTTCTCCTCTGTGTCTGTGTCTCCTCTGCTGTCTCCTAGAAGGACACTTGTCATTGCATTTAGAGCCCAGTTGGATAATCCTCATTTCAAGATCTTTCACTTAATTACGTCTGCAAAGACTTGTTCTGCAGTTAAGGTCCCATTCACAGATACCATGGATTAGGACTTGGTGATATCTTTTGGGAACTCACTATCCAATCTACTCTACACTACACGAACCAGATAGCATGGGGCTGCAGAAAACACCCCTGCCATTTCTGAGGACCCAGAAAGCCATGGAGGTCATAGCTTCAGTTATACATACCCAGGGTTTCACAGGTGTGCCACCTGTGCAGTCACACAGGGCCTCCTGCAATGAAGGCTGCCATATTGGTTTAATGCTCTGCTTCCGCCATCTTTAAATTGTTAATTATGCTTAAACAAGGAGCTCACATTTTCATTTTGCACCGGGGCTGGATGTTCTGTAGCCATCTCTGCTTACACCTATTCTCTCCTCAAGGAAGGGGAGCAAGTCTGCAGCTAGACACCTCCATTCGCAGCAAAGCCTCTGCAAAACCATCTATGAAGATGTCCCCAAAGGTCCAGTAAGGCTAGAGGCTTATAGCTGCTTACTTGGTGAACCTCCGAAATTGATGGGTGCTTGGTCCACTCCCAACAGAATTCTGGAGTTAATTCTTCTGGAC